CTGGGTTGTATGGAATTTCTAATTTCAATTCTTTGAGGAATCTTCATACTGATTTCCATAATAGTTGTACTAGTTTGCATTCCAAGGAAGGTTCTGTTTTTACCACAGCCATATCAGCATTTGTTATTGTTTGATTTCCTAATGATTCTCATTCTTTCCAGAATAAGGTGGAATCTTACCATTGTTTTAATTTGCATTAAGTGGCCAGGGATGTTGAACATTTTTCATATATTTGTTGACCATCTGTATTTCTTCCTCTGTGAAGTATCTGTTCATTTCTCTAGCCCATTTCTTAACTGGGTCTTTAATTTTAGATGGTTTAATTTTTTTGAGTTCTTTGTATATTCTGGATATTAGTTCTCTGTCTGAGGATTAGCTGGCAAAGTTTTTTTTCCATTCTGTAGGTTGTCTTTTCACTCTACTATTTGAATCTTTTGTTGTTCAGAAGCTTTTTAGTCTGATATAATTCCATTTGTTGATTCTTGCTGCTATTTCCTTGTGAAAGGCCTCCTCAGTAATGGCCAGCAGTTGGATGAAGCAGTGATCTCTTACATCTTGTATGTAGCCCTCTTGGTAAGAATGTCCATCGTCCAAGGAGTTGGAGGTGCCCAGAGCAGAGGGGGAGATTTGTACACTGCTTTGCCATTATTTCTGTGGACAGTTTTTTATGTTCTTTGTGCTATCTTCTGATTTTTCATTGATTTCGATCAATCTTATGTTATTTTTCTTTGCATCATTTAGCAACTGTCAGATTGATTTTTCATGGTCCCTTGTAATTTTTAAGACATCTTTCATTTGATGATTGCTAACCACAAATCTGTCTTCTAGGTGTGATATTCTGTCCTCACATCGGTTGATTCTGCTGCATATACTTTCTTTTTTTTTTTTTTTTTTTTTTTTTTTTTGTACCGGGATCCAATTCAGGACCTTGCGCTTTTGAGGCAGGTACAGCACCACTGAGCTAAATCCCCAGCCCTTTATACACATACTTTTATTAGAAATATTTACTCTTTAATTTGGGAAAGCATTCCTCTTGAAATAGTTTTATTTCTGTATCTTCTACTAAGCACTTCTGCTGACTGTTATATCCTAGATGTAAATGCTGTCTTGATTTTTAAACTTTGTCACCCTAACTAGACACATCCAAAAGCAATGTCTAATTTGGGCAGTGTGGATATACATAATTAATTATAGTTCAAAATGAAGTTTGAAAAGAGTTAAAAACACGGGCTCTAATCTTAATAGATGAGTTTACTACTTCCTCCATACAAATTAGCTGTACTGAGCAGTAAATTCATTTTCTAGTCAATAAAGAAAATAGTACATGGTTCCTGATGCAGTACTTAACAACTGTGCTTAAATAATTTTAATTACCAAATTAAATACCAGACATTTTAGTGCTCTTACAAGTGGGGGTGAGGGAGGAAAAACTTCTTATAAGCATAAACCATGACAGCAACCGTCTCATGCACTGTGCTAACATTTGTCACTTCTAGATTAAGGACCTAGAAAGATACAATGCAGAAATAATGATCAACCTGAGATAAGGCTGTTGAATTTTCAAAAGTTAACAGTCATAATATAAACATGTAAAAAAAAAAACCAAACCGAAATGCTTTTGTACTCCAAATCAACTTCTGAGATTTATTATTGCATGCTTATTACCAGGAGAAAAATATTCTACCCAGAAAACTTTCCAATGAATTGATTTTGGATTATTTTTTCCACATGTCTCTTGAGTACATTCGTATCAGCTGCACAAACTTGGTATTCCATCTTCTCTTGCTGTTTTGTTCTCTCCAGTAAAGCTTCATGTAGCGGAGGTAATGCATTATATGATCCCAGTAAATAAAGCTGACTTGATGAACTTTGGTTGATTTCTTTAATCTTTAAAGCCCGCATGATAGCAGGTGCAAACTTTGAGTAATGAGCTGTAGATGAGACAATCACTGGGCAAGTTTTATCTTGCATTCTGTCTGCAACCACTTTTGCAACAGCAGTGTGTGGATCCAAAATATATCCTGAAGTATTATAGGTAGAGTTAATAGCTTCTAGGCACTCTCCCTCAGAGCACCAGTCAGCTACAAAATCCTGCTGAAGTTTCTCAACCAGAATCTTTTCTATTTGGAAGTGATGCTGATTTTCTAACTGATTAAAGAGTTTTGTCATTAATTCCCCATCTTTATTAGCCACCAAATGTAATTGTCGCTCCAAGTTGGAAGACTTGAGAATATCTATTGATGGTGAAAAGGTCTGTGTTAATTTTCTTTCCCGCAGGTCATAATGTCCTGTTTTTATAAAATCTGTCAAAACATGGTTCTGATTAGAGGCACAAATAAATTTTCGAATAGGGATTCCCATCATTTTGGCATACACTGCTGCCAGTATGTTGCCAAAGTTTCCTGTGGGAATACAGACATCTACTGGGCTTCCAAAAGATATAAATCCTTGGCTAACAAGATCAAGATATGCAGAAGCATGATATACTACCTGGGGAAGCAGTCGGCCCCAGTTTATGGAATTAGCTGAACTTAGGATTGTTCCATATTCCACAGTAAGAAAGCCAGTAAACTCAGAATCACTGAACATTCCTTTTATAGCTGTCTGGCAAAAATCAAAATCTGATGAGACACCCACTGCCCGTCCATTTTCTTTCTGACTACCAACTATTTGTGCTTTCTGAAAATCACTTACTCCGTTCTCAGGAAAAAATGTGACCACAGCTATTCTCTGCTTCTCATTCTTATTAAGGCGACTAAAACCATTTAAGACTGCACTCCCTGTGTCTCCGGAAGTAGCTGCAAGTATCACATAATTACAACTTGGTGGAATACAGTGTGCAAAAATATGAGGCATAAGCTGTAAAGACAAATCTTTAAATGATCCTGTTGGTCCATGAAACAACTCCAGGATGAACTGGTTGCCTGAAAGGTGTCTGACGGGGGCAATTTTTGAACAGGCAAAGTTTTCCCCATAAGCATTTTCAATCATTTCTCCCAATCTGGCTGCAGGTATGTCTGCAGGATGTATACACCTTTCCAACAGTATTTGTGCCCTTTCTGGGTAGGTTGCTCCTACGAGGCTTTTCCACTCCCAGGAGTTTAATTTTGGGAACTCCTTCTCAGGAACAAAGAGTCCACCATCAGAAGCTAAGCCCTCAATCACAGCATCACTGAAGAATTTTGTTGAAACTTTCTGTTCGTGGTCTTTAGAACGAAAGTGCCTTGTGGAAATGAATGTTTCCGAGTCAACATCTTGGTATCTTTGAACTGCACTCAGCACTTTGTCAGCTACTTCCTCTGGGGAAGCCCCACTGTCACACAAAACTCGAGTATCATACCATTTCTTATAATACTGCCTTCTAAATTTAAGTAGGTCTGTTATAGGTGTTTCATAATTGTAACCTACAATCCTATCTATCTTCATTAATTTTAGACGATTAATTATATCTACTACAGGTACATCCAAGTATACAATTATTCCATTTTTCCTCAGATGCCGCATGCTAGCCTCGTGCAGGGGATTAGACCCAGTAAGGGCAATCACACTTCCAGATGCAGAGATGTTTAACACAGCTTTTCCTTCCTCTTCTAAAAACTGTTCATCACCAACATCCTGTAATTTTTCAGACACACTCATATTCCAGGCTTTTTCAAGGATATCATCATCCACATCTATGACACAACAGCCTAGTTTCTGACTTAGTATTCTGCCTACTGTTGTTTTCCCAGCACCAGGAGGTCCCATCAGGATAATATTTTTGTCTCCAACAAGAGAGTGGGTTGAAAGCCATGACTTCCTTAATTCTGCGAGTACAAAGCTTCTTGAAAGAAATAGTTGTGCATGTTTATCCGCTTTAACATGTGTACTAGAAAAACATTTCTGTGCTATCTGTTTCAGATGCCGACATCGGTTAAAGTGGAGCATCCTCTTTTCACTTTTCTGCCAAGCCAACCTAAGAATTGGCTTTAGCCCTTTTTAAGACATAAAAACAAGACATCTGGTTACTAATTTCAACTGTTAAAATTCCGATAGGATTGAACATAACCATGCTCACAAACCAAACTGTTTAAAACTTTTTCAAGTATTATTTTTTATATTTTTCAAATCTTAAGACATTGAAAAGCCAAAACTTTCAAAACTATGTATGATTCCTAGCACCACAAAGTCACTATAAACAATGGAAACAACATTCAGAAAACGTCATCCCATAGAGTCTTAAAAATATTTACCAAACCCAATTAATAATTTTGCTTTTATGGAACACTATAATAAAAATTGTTGGGCTAGGGATTTAGCTCAGTAGTTCCGGCGCCTGCCTCACAAGCGCAAGGTTCTGAGTTCGACTCCAGTAGCAAAAAAAAAATTGTTTCATGGTTTTTGGTTTGTAACAGATAACAAGAAATTTGGAGTTAAGAGTTCTAATTACTCAATATATTTATAATACTCATTTTTTAGTAATATGAGTGTATTGATAGATTGTTACTTATTAATTTCCTGGCTATCTTGGTTATAGAATTCAGAACAAGAAACTAGAATAAAAGAACACACTTCTTTACTGAATTTTTAAATAATTTCCTAAATTACAGGACAAAGGCATAACATTTTCTTTCCTATGTGCCTTTTACATGCATTCTATTAGGAATTATGCTTACATATTATTCATACTCAAGGCCTTAAAAAGCCAAAGCAAAAGGTGCATTATCATGAAATATTAACAGCAATAACATTAAAGGATATATATCTACAACCTTATCTGTATGGTACCATGCTTTTGTTTCTGTTCCTATAAACATCAGTGGCAAGATTTAACTCAAATTCCAGACTCCAGAAAGGAAAGAAACTCAGGAAGGTTTCCCATGGTGAGACAAAAAAATTATTCTGGCATCCAGAGATGCTGTACAATTCTCCAAACTGACCAAGCCCTTGTCTTTGGAAATACACTTACCATTAAAACACAAACATATGCTAATCAAGGCAGATTTTTATCTTATAAAATGTAATTTAATAACTGCTACAATAATCATTTAAATTGGCTGAAAAAACTTTACAAACACATAATAGGGCTTTTCACCTGTTCACTGATAGAACTAGTATGAAAACAGAACTTATCACATATTAAATGATACGTTTAAATGATATAAAAACTTTTTGAATTGTGCAGTTCTAATTATCTATGTTACTAGACTGTTTTGTAATTAAACATTTAAACCATTTTAAGCTAAGTCTGAATTTAACTTACAAGTAAACTTAGAACTGTCAAAAGATGGAATTCATGTCCTTATTTGACTTTTCAGGTTGTACAGGCTGTGCCTAACTCTAGTGACTTGTAAACAAGACATGCAGGAACCAATCTCCATGAAGTCTGTTGATGCTGAAGCAAACCCAATCTCGCAAAAACTGGAAATCTAAAATGCAAAAAATTTCAAGTTAATCATAACTATAGTACCACAAAATTCTACACATATAATAATCCATTACTTAAAATCCATCTAAAATTTTTAAAAGAGAAATTTATTAATTATTTTCATTTCATTTCCCTAAATCTATTATTAAAAGATTAAGACACTGGGCTTTTTCAATATATGTCTTGTCTTAGGAAAGAACTTTACTAACCAACACTGAAAGTATTTCTACCACTGAGCAATAAAAAAGGCAATACAACCAAATAATATAAAACCTTTCACAATAACACCTGAAATTCTAATGATCTAACTGTCCAATGATCAGAAGGAAAAAAATCAATTCAATAAAGCTATGAAATGAGTAAACTGTTACTTCAGGCTATCTTATCCACCTGAATCACTAAATTATATATATATATAGAGAGAGAGAGAGAGAGAGAGAGAGTACAAATAAAGCATCTTCCACACACAGCTAGCTACCTCTTGGCTAATGAATAAAGTCAAAACACATATCATAGCGGCTAGCACTAAGAATATGAAATATCATGGCCACTCAGTGACAAGGGACTAAGAACATAAACACTGAATCAGAATATCCAGATGCAAGGTTAGGCATACTTTTTACGGTTTGGTTTATACACTATTAGAAAACATAATGGTGGCCAGGGATCTAGCTCAGTGGTTCTGGTGCCTGCCTCGCAAGCGCAAGGTCCCAAGTTCGATCTCCGCTACAAAAAAAAAAAAAAAGGAAAGAAAAAATAATGGTGCGCATCCCTAGGTAACACAATCTGATTAACCACCTATTCACCAGACTTGTGCTTATAACATTAGAATGTCTTCGTCTAACTCCGCAGTACATAACTTTTTTCTGATCTCTGTGTCAGTAATTGTACATTATCTGAGTAACTGGTTTGAAAAAAGATGGAATTCTATTTTAAGCTTATAAACAAGATGAAATGAGATGCCTGCACTCTCATATCCTTCAGATCTCTTTTTTTCCTCTAGTCTTTTTGAGACAGGATCTCGCTATGCAGTCCAGGCTGGCCTCAAATTAGCAGCAATCCTCCTGCCTCAGCCTCCTGAGTGCTGGGATTACAGGAATGCTCTACCACACCCAGCAGTCAACATTTTTCACCAACAGTGTACACTAATCTTCAGCAATCTTTTTGAAACTGTTTTAAGTTTATCATTAGATGAAAATCAAGCAAAATTATACCGTAACATGTATCAATTTTTACTTGCAAAGTGATTTACATGAATTTTTCATTGTACCATAAAATTATCTAGTTTTCAAATCTGAGGAATCCACAAAACCCTATTGTCAAAATGATTTAATATTTGCCACTAGTTTAAAATGTGTGATTGCTATTATATTCCTTTCCAAAGTAAAACACCAGACATTGCACTTAAAAACTATTTCATACGAACTGGATATAGTTCAATGAGCTTGTAAAAAAAAAAAAAAAAAACTATGCCATATTTATGCCTATCATCCTATATTAAAATCTCATTTTAAATTTGAGAAAAGTGACTGTCGAGGTCTAGCTTATTACCTTATAAAGCCATTCTGCAGCTTAAAAAATTTAACGATGGCACTTTCATAGCAATACATTGTTATTCAATAACTAAAAAAATAAAATGCAAATAGACCAGGACGTACACTAGCTAAGCAGAGGGGAAGCTTTGATCACCTCTAATCCATTCTACAAGCCCTGACCTACTCCCCAGGAAGTAGACAAGTAGAGGGAGTGCAAAGATCACACATTCTAAGGCCAGGCTATAATCACAAGGAGCTTGCAACCAAAATCATAATTTTACATATTCAACACTTATCCTTATTTTTATATTACTACCAAAGATAGCTAAGCTTTTCCTGTGGTCCACCATGATATCCTAATGGTCTCAACACTCCTCTCAATTAAAAACTTTCAAAGCACCTATCTTTATAAGTGGTTTATTTTCCTTTTGTTTCCCAATCTACACCTATTTCAGAAAACACGTCTTTTTTTTTGGTACCGGGGATCGAACTAGGAACCTTGTGTTTGTGAGGCAGGTGACAGAATCACTGAGCTAAATCCCCAGCCCTACACTTATTTGTTTAAATAGGTTAAAATGATATTTAGCAAAACAAAACTCTGCTTTATGTACAATACCATTTATACTGGGGGTCTGTGCAAACAAGCTAATTCACATGCGAGCCGGCGATCATGGTTTATAAATTAAATTTCGCTGGAATGCAACTTGCTCACTTGTGGACTCATCTGTTCATTTGTTCAGTATTGTCTGTAGCTGCTTGCAGAGAGAATGGGAGAGCCGAACAGCTGTGAGAAACCACCTGGCCTACATCGTCCTAAAATATTTGCAGAGCCATTTATACAAAGTCTGCTGGTCCCTGAAGAGATATATTATTACTGATTCCCTAAGGTTATGATGTTGCACACTGGCATTTTCTTGAGCAGTACTGCCACTTCGAGGAAATAAAAAAATAGAAATGTATTTGGTCTAAACATAGTTTCAAAGGGCAAGCAGAGTTACAGACCAAATATTTAAGCCAGAAAGTTTCTTTCCAAGCGACTTCACAGATTCATCATGACATAAATTCAATCTATTACAGTAAGTGGCAAGCAGTTCTATCTAGTATTTCCTAAAGCACAGGAAGTGCACAGTACTGACATCAATGAAATCATTTTTTCAGTAACCCCAGTAAATCAAGGATAGCTAAGGCTAGTTAGTGCTGACTGCAGAAATCAGGCTCTGCCAGACACTGGATGGACAGAAATAGTTCCCAAGCGTTCTTTCAAATCTGGGCACTTGGGGCTAGGTAGAGCACTATCCTAGCATGCCTGAGGGCCTAGATTCAAAATACAGCAAGACTAAAAAAAAAAATTTTTAAAGACCTTGGCCAGTAACCATCCACATGAGTAATGGCATTGTTCCATAAGCCCTTAGTTAAAATTTTACCATGTATACTCACAGTGATCCCAAGATATTTTCTCTACATAGGAAGAGCAAGGGGAAAAAAGCAAAATACTGAAAACAAAGGGGTAAAGTGATATAAACAGATCTACATCAAAACCCTTATCTAAATCTATTTGTTTAAAATGTTTTGGAAAACGGAAACTTAATCTGATGTGACGAAATCCAGAGAATCATTACCTTTACTTAGGAAATGTCTGTTGAATGGCCTGGAATAAAAACTAAAATCTCATCAAACTGGCTAAAAATACCTAATTCTCATCTAATGAAATTTTTAAACCTCAAAGTAAGGCTCTGCGCAATCAACAAAGCCTTCCAGCTAGAAACTAAGGTATTCAGGTTTAACCATGAGCCATCAGGCTCCTCAACCCCCTGCAGGCAGCCAATTCCTTACCCGTGACCCGCTCTACTTCCAGGGGCAGTGGGCCTCCCCCTCACATTACCAAAGTATCTTCTAGGCTAATAAATGAGTTCCAGCAGTCACGTGTGCGCCCAGAACGAAGGAAAAGTCAAACAGTTCAAAACGGAAGAAAACCACTTCTTGGAAGCACCTCCCCCGAAACGGGCAAAAATCCAAGGCCCACGGAACGGCTTCTCCTGGTCGGCCGGGCGGGGAAGCGGGCGAGGCCGGACCGGGGCTGAGGGCCTCGGCGGAACCGCACACACAGGGCTCTCACGCCCGAGCGTGCGGGGGAAGGACGAGGCGAAGCAGAAGCACGCGAGGGTAGCGGGCCCGGGCTCTCTTTCCCTTTCTTTCTCCTCTAAACACTCACCAAGAAAATCACACTGAGAAGCCAGGAGAAAGGAAGGGAAATCGAAAGAAGCGTCCACACGCCGCCAGGGGCCCCTCAGCACACGAACCGGCGCGCTCTGCTCTCGCCCGTCCCGCCCCCGCGCCACGGCCGTCTGCGCCTGCGCACACCTGAGCGTCTGCGCTCCACGAGCTCGCCCATCCGCCGCGCGCCAGGCACGTGATTCTGCCCCGCACGCCGCCCTGGGCCCCTCAGGCTCCTCCCCTTCTCCGCGCTCTGGTCGCGGACCTCTCGTCAGCGTCAGCCTGGTTTTAGCCCCTCGTTGCCTCGCGGGTCGGGATTGGGCCTGCGCTGTGGTATGGCGCCTGCGCACTGGCCTCCCTTTGGATTGTAGAATTTTTCTCACCAAACATACAAAGAGCAAAAAGCAAAATGTTGTAGGGAACGCAATTTTCACCTCTTTATTTCCAAACGTACAGAGGTTTCCGTGTGAATTTCTCGGCAGGAGAAAGCATTGCAGAAATAATGAGAGGAAACCTGGCTGGCAAGTCTGATTTCCACTTTCCCGTCGCCTAGTAACTGTTTCCATAGCAACCGCGCGGTCAACAACATTGAGCAACCCCCGGAGGAATAGAAAGCGCGTTTCTTTTTCTTGGGGGAGACTGCTAAGAAGGGGTCAAAGGGGAGTACATGAAAGAGAGACACCTGAGTTCCTTGACAAGGCGAGGGCGCAAAAAAGAAAGGGGAAGCAGCGGAGAAAGGGACAGTGAGAAAAAGCAGTTGGGAATTGTAGTTTTTAAGGAGTCATTTGCTGGTCATGGATCCAACGTGCTCGGCTGAGAGCATTTATAACCTCATACCCAGTGACTTGAAGGAGCCTCCCCAGCCTCCTAGGTATGTGGGTAAGCAAAGATTATCATCGCCAGAAATAGAAGAGGGGTGTAATAATGATTCCATTTCCAGATTAACTAAGCATACATATCACAGGATTTTGAAAATAATATATATATTGTCTCAATGAAATAGAGCCTTAATGAAAACTTCTTAGAGAAGTTATCGAAAAAATCTAGGCGTTTAGCACTTCACAGTTCACGCAAAAGCATTCCGGTGCTGTCATTAGGTTACACTTAGCCTGCTATTACCACGTTTTGTAATTATTTTGTAATTTATCTAATAGTTGGTACGCGATGTGGTTTACAACCAAGAGTGAAACATCACGGTGTTGAAAAGGGAAAATCACAACTGTATTTTCCTGTGTTAGAGGACTTGATGTTTGGTTTCAGGAGTTCAGCGTTGTATTTCTAACTGCGTTACTGCTCAGTTACCTCTCTAAAGGTACAGTACTTATTTTTCCCCTCAAGATTATTGTCAAATATAAATTCACATTTGTTTCTGCGGTTCCTTTTTTTTATTGGTTAAATGAAGCAGAAGGACTAGATACACTAGTTTTTAGAACTTTTTCAGGTCTAGTGGCTAAATGGAAGAGAGAAAGGTTGCATATCCGGCTAGAGATACAAAAATAGTAATTGAGTTAAAATTTTTGCATAGTTGTTAGGACTCCTAATACTTCCCAAATCTCAAAAAGATAACCAGAAAGTAAGCACTCCAGTTACACTCCTGTGTATGTATTTGTTAGAACTTCGTTAAATGTAAGGGGAGAAAAGAAGGTAATTAGTGGAGAAAATCTCTTTCCGCCAAGGACTTAAAAAGTTTCCTGCTATCTACCTCTATCTTTTTCCTTATGCTAGTAGAAAACCACTTTAGAAGAACACTGGGCTAAAAATCAGGGTCTACAGCCAATTGTTTCAGAGGTTTTAAATGCACGACACCTTCCCTTTTCACCCTGCATAGCTGGTTTTAACCAGAGCAATAGTTATATTGTATTTACATTGTTTTTTCAAAATCTAGTAGAGATTGGACAAACAAATGTAAAATAAACTATAGTACAGTTCATAATATTATTGCTGAACCAACATTTGGTTCACAGTTCCTGAATACCATACAAAATAAAGTTCCTTCTTTTTACAACACCTAATACAGTGGTGACAAACCTATGGCATGTGTATTATGTGTTTTTCTTTTAAGACAAAAGATGTATGAGTTGTTTCTAAACTAAAACCCCAGTGTTTATTGCAGTGTTGGCACTTGCAATAAATAAATGGGTTTTGGGTTGCAGTTTGAGCACACATCTCTAAAAGGTTTGCCATCACTGCATAAATTTTATATTCTCTACAATACTGAATTTGAATGTTCAGATGTGTTATTAGATAGATGTACTGTTCATTGGTAAAGTTTTACAGCATCTAGGCAATTTTTTTAAAGTTATAAGAACAATTATAATTTACTTAAATCAATCATATTGATTAATTTGGTAGATATTAACGTAATCAGAGAATATCCTGAATAATTTCAATCCTCTGAAAACTGCTGAGAGTTGCTTCACATTAATGTATGGTCTACTTTTTTATTTAATTTTTTTGAGACAGGGTCTCATTATGGAGTTCAAGCTGGTCTTGAACTATGTAGCCCAGGCTGGCCTTGAATTCATGGTGATCCACCTGTCTCAGCCTCCTGAGTGCTGGGATTACAGGTGCACACCACCATGCCTGGCTGATCTGCAGGATTTTCACCAAATCCATCACCCTTCTATTGAGGGTTGTAATTATTTAATATTTTCTATCATTCCTTTTTTCCATTTTGCTTAAGGGAATATTCCAGACATGGTTTAAACAGCCCATGAACCAAAATAACTTCTTTCTTTAATACTTGGCACAATACTTTTACCCAAGCAGCCTAAGTTTCTGTTATTGTTTTGATAGTCATGCCCCACTATTGGCTCACATTGAAATTCCTGCATATGCTAGGTCTAAGATTGGTCTCTCCCATCTTTAATTATGTAGCTGATTCTTTTTTTTTCTCAGCTCATCATTAATTTATGGAAATAGTTTTCAATTATGAATTATTCATACACTCTCAACCATTCTTCTCAGCTATGTGTCCCTTGCAACTCTAATGAGTATGTCTTTTATATCCACATCTATCATTGAAGGGCAAGTACTTTACACTGCAGGGAGGCTACCAGATACCTCTCTGAAGGTTGACAATACCTTTCTGAGTCTTCAGTTACCCAAAATAGACCCATGAATCAGTTCAGATTTCGCTAATATACCAGCAAGGATTTAATGAGGGGCTTTACTAGCATCAAGATGAAAATTGTTATGCTGAAAATATCACCCAATCAATCTTAGCAATCTTATTTTTTATTTTCATTAATGGTGACTGAAACTCCAAGTGACTTATGCAATCATTGCCTTTCTACAAACATAACTAATTCTCTCTACAACTCTGTGGAAATTGTCATAAGGCTTACCAGTATAGAGTTTCCAAATGTCTACTTTTTGAAAACGGGAATATTTAATGTCATAAGTACCACTAGTTCACTTTAAGTGTTTTTCTGATTTTCATTGTGATTAATTGTAGCATGTAATCAGAATTTAATTTCTGGAGGTTCCTATTCTTCATGGACTACTTTCCATTTTATTCAGTGTTCATAATATTATACCTGTATGCTCTGAACCCCTTATAACATTTTTAATGTGAAGTCTGGTTATGTATCTGACTCTCCTCAGCAGTCTATTCTTGACAATTACGAATTCTAAGATGACATAGGCATTTTTATCCTGAGGTTCTTGTCTTATCTACTTTGCTGACTAATTACAGGCAAGAATTCAATTGAGAAAAGCAATAATCCTTTTAGTGAACTTAGATTTAAAGAAAGTTCAGAATATTCCAAAATCATTGTTTTGGTATAATAATATTTTATGCTAAAATTCTTATTGCTGCAATATATGATTTCAGGCAGAATTTTATGATTAGTGTTAAAAGCTTTTATTCATATTTTTCATCTGACCAAGCAATTCCTGCATACTCTCAGAAAGCTCACGCTTCCCTTCATCTATTGCATTTCTTTTATCCAAGTGGTCTGTTCTTCACATGCTTATACTTTACATCACACACACACACACACACACACACACACACACTTTTACATAGATCTTACAGTTTACATGAAAAAGATTTAAAATCACCAGGAAACAGTTACCCACCAGACGACGTGGTATTTATATTAGAGAGACCTGAAGAATGTAGAAGAGACAAAGATTTGGGAAGTCACATAGTGGAAGAGATAATGAAAAATTATAATTTTCCCTTTTAGATACACTTCATGGATAAAGGGAAGGATATGCACAAATAGGATTTTTGTCAGCAAGGAAAATTACAGCCACCGTGTGCATTTACTGGGTTAATATTTGCTCATTTTGAGTTACTGCCTCTCATTTAGATTTCTATAGATATATATTAGGACACATCTCTGGCATTTCATATATACCTAAGAATATTGAAAGGGGAAATATGCCAACAATATTTCTTAGAATTAGTTGCCAGAGAAATTTTAGATAAGTGAATTTTTGTGAATGTTAGGCTTATTTTTTGGATGGTTATTCAATTGCAGAATAAGGTTTGGTATCTTAAGCAATGGCATAAAATATATTATAGTCTGAGGAAACTAATTTTAGAAGTTGGAAAAGTATGTCAGTCTGTCTGTTATATTAACAATTGAGATGCCATGACTTTTTAGAAAATAAGACTATATCTTCTAATATACAGGTAAAATAAAGGGTTGAATAGGCTTATTTTTTTAAAAATGTAATCAAGACAGATATCTAGTACAGTATAGTAATAAAACAAAAATATTCTCATTAATAGTAATAATATGCTCAGTGGTTTTACAGTGTACCAGGTACTGTTCTCCATTTTCCACAATCACCATTTAATTGTCACAAGGGCCCTGTGAGATAAGTGGTATTGTCCTAATTTTATGGAAGAGAAAAGTCAGGCCCAGAAAGTTGAGGCAGAAAGGAAGAAGGGCTGAACCCAAGACACACTCTGCCGAAAGGCCTGCCACACCTTTCACCGGTTTCCACACTGCCGGGCAAGTGAAACAAACCTAATGACCACTTTTTGCCTCACAGCATGTGTTTTAATCTATAATGTTTAGTATTTGTGAACTATCTTGTTCTAGTGCAATAAGATATTTTGTGATGAAGATATTAAAGAAAATGGGAAATGGTAATAGAAAAGTCAGGCAATGATACACATGAGGTTGCATATGAAAAACATGCTTTAAAATGCTATGCAAATTGGACTCAGAGCTACTAGGAAGCAGCCAGCTGGCAAAGGCATGATTCTTCCTATGATTCTTTAAAACTCACTTATCCGCCAAGTTACATTTTCCATAGACAAAAGCAAATTAGTAACTGAGGAGACTTACAGGTATGCTTGGTGTGGAGCCATAAATACACTTCCTCCATGGTTCATGGGTAGAGGAGTCACGGTATATAATGTCATGAATAAATATTTCAACAACACTCTTACATAACATATACTGAGTTTCATAGGTCTAATATTGCTCTCATTTCAAACCCAGGACCAAATACCATAACATAATCAAAGCAGATTTATAGATATGTTATCAGCTATCTGCATAGTTTAAGAATAGAGTTTCCTGATATCTAGATCAGCCTTGTCCAATAGGAATAGAATGTGAGTCACATTTATAATTTGTATTTTTCTAATTGTCCCTTTTTAAATGTATAAAAACTGGTAAAATTAACTTTAAAATATTTAATTTAACCCAGTGTGCCTAAAATACCATGATTTCAACATATGGCACTAGCCACATTTCAAGTGTTGAATATCTATAAGTAATATTGAAAATCAGGACCCAACATGAATAACTATATACCCTTTTGATGTTCTTTCATACTACTTTTCTCAATAGTTTGTGGTAGGTTTTAAGTAGCACTAAGGTCATAATTACACTCGATAACATACAACTATGTTACCAAGTGAGTGCAGAGCATAACTTTGAGAACCGAACATGCTGATGATAGAATTGGCATCCATTTATGAAAAATTAATTACTTGATATAGACATGAATCAGAGACTGTCACTTCAATGCTTGTAGATATGTTTATGAGCTATCTATGCACATGCAAAAATTTTTTTCAAGAAATAATTTGGGGCCAGGCATGATGGCACACACCCGCAATCCCGACTACTCTGCTGGCTGAGGCAGGAGAATTGCAATTAAGACCCTCTCTTAAAATAATAAATAAATAAAATTACTTTTAAAGGGCTGGGGGATGTAACTCAGTGCCCCCCACCCCAGGATCAGTCCCCAGTACAGAAAGAGAGATGGGGAGAGTAAGGAGAAGGGAGAGGAGAAAAAGAAGAGGGGGGAGAGAGGAAAAGAAAGGAAAAAGAAAAGGCAAAAAAGAAAGAATTTGAAATACTTTAATTTAGCTTAAAATTACACACACACATGCACACACAAACACAGACAGACATGCACACACACAGAAGTTATTATCCAATACTCATTCATTAGGGGAAATAGTTTCAATCAAATTCTGTGAAACTCTCACAACTTTTGAGCAATATCATTTATTTGTGTTCCCTTTAATAAATGTTATAAAATGTACTCTAGGGTTATGATGATATGATTTATTATATAGTTGTTATTGGTACAGTTGTGTTTCGTTTATTGAAGATGACAATTTTAATTTGAAAATAAGTTATCTCTAGCCTACATCTAATAATAAATAGAAAATACAGCCAGTTTTCTAATAAAATCACCTCTTAGATATTCATCAGACCACTCTATTCAGAAAATGGAATAAAATGCAGGATTTGAAAGAGTAAGATTTGCATACTGACACTGAAAGATATTAAACTATTAACTTTTTTAAATTAAGTTTCAATACCAACAGAATCACAAAAAACTAAATTTATTCTGAAAAATTGGGGAGATAGAACCTAGATTTTTATTCATGTATAAATTTTATTTTGTAATTAGTTCACATACATAACAATTAGGCATATAGTAAAATTTCTTATCTATGATAGATGAGTGGGCTTTCTTATATACAAAAAGTTCTTAATCACAAAATTGCAAATTAAAAAGCAGTGAGAATATATACACTCTGTTCCAGAGAAAATTAGATCATTAATCATGAAACCATATCTGCCAACCCAACTTCCATGGGATTTTTAAGGCACATGTTTGGCTTGAATGTTATTTCCTGAAGGTATCTAAAGAGTGCACTGAATTCAGACCATTGATTCTTGCCATTGAGTTCAAGATTGAGGAATACCCTTCAAAGCAAAAAAAAAGTTTAATATTTTTCCAAATAAATTTAATCCACCTACTGAAAAAGACAATACAAAATGTTAAAAGTAATACAGCTAAACTCCTGCTTCGGAACAAGCATGGAATTTACTTTTTCACCTAAAACAACTAGAACATTTGAAAAAACATATGAAACAGTAGTTTTTAGGCACAACTAGACAATAGGTGCACAGAGCATGCCTCCTAAAAGAAAAGAATGAAGCAAGTCCTACAATTGCCCTAATGTAATTCCTGGAAAGAATTTCCAGGCCAAAGTCCAGAAGAGGGAATGTAAAATGAGCCCAGAAATCTCCCTGAGTTAAGAAGACCAAGTTCAGTGTTTGGGAAGGCCAAAGGAACTAGAATTCACAGCACAGTGCACCAGAGAAGAGAGAACTGCAGAGAGCAATGGAAATCTGCAAGAGGACGTCCCTAAAATCTTCAGTTGATAGCACATGTGAGTAATGAAACTACCAAGGCCAAGGAAATAATCAGCAGAAAGCAACAATGCAGGTAAAATTCATGTTCTCACCAGCCAGAGTGGAGACGCTTCTTACTACACAAAATGAGTCGTGCTCTCTAAAGTGGGACTAAGTTTGACTAGACTAAAGGCTCTTCTGGACCTATCATAAAACTTAAAACCAAGCTTTAGAATGGTCACATTGTTTCCAGCTATCATAACTGCATTCCAGAATAAAGCAAGTGAGAATTTAAAAGAAAAGAGAAAAGAGAAGAAAAAGTGAAAAGTTCAGCAACTGACAATGTAAAAATCAGGATTTTGTGTCCAATCTAAAATTACTTACAAGGCATAACCAAGAAGAAAATCAGTTAATATAAACAGACATAGAAATGGCATGCATAAGAGAATTAGTAAACAAGGACATATTAAACAGCTATTTAATACTTTATGTTCAAAAAGGCAGAGGAAAGCATGATTGAGACAGGGAAAGAATGGGAGGGAAGGGTCTGAATCTAGCTTGTAGATATAAAGAATACAGTAATGTGTCCCAAATGAAGATGGTGTACTAGATGAGAAAACAACAGCTAAGGTACCAAAAAGAAAATACAAATGAATTGAAGGCACAAAAATAGTACAACACAAGATGAAACTCAGAGAAAAAAGACCAGAAATGGAAATGGAACAATGGCGAGCTATGGATAACCTCAAGCAGCCTGACATAAGTATAACTGGAATCACAGAGGAGGAGGGAAGACATGGAGGAACAGAAGAAATACTTGAATAAAAGTAAAAAATACGTCAAATTTTATAAAGTCTCTACACCCACAGATCCAAGAATCACAGTGAACACCAAGGAGAGAATAAAATAATAAGGCAACTATGCCAAGGGACATTATATTTAAATTTATTAAAACTCTTAATAAAGAAAAAATTAAAAACAGCAAGAGAGAAAAAAACTTACACACACCAGAGGAATAAAAAGACAGAAAACTTATATTATTGGGAAACAGTGGATGCCAGAGATTTTTAAAAGCTCTTTATGGAGAAGGAATGGTACCACTGGGATACTTGGATTTACAAATTGAATGAAGAACACTGGAAATGCTGAAGATATTTGCAAGTATCAAATATTTCTTTCAAAACTCTTTAGCATAATTGGCTGTATTATAAAAATGACAGTGGATCAGGGGATTTTTGACACTGAGAGAAGTATAATGTATGACAACACTAGGACAAAAATGAGAATGGAGGGCCAGGGATTTAATTCAGTGGTTTTGCCGCCTGCTGCGCAAGCGCAAGGACCCGAGTTCGATTCCCGGTACCAAAAACAAACAAACAAAAAGTGAGGATGGAAACAATACTTTTGTGAGATTCTTCTTCCTTTCCCCATTTTTGTGGTGCTGGGGATGAAACCTAGGGCCTTGGTCATGCTAAGAAAGAGCTCAGCTACATCCAGTTCCCTCTTAGATTCTTACAGCATCTGAAGTTCTGTACTATTACTTGGAGTCAGGCTGTGAAAAGTTAAACATACACAGTGAGTGTAAACCTGCAAAATAAAATTTAAAACTAAGCCAGGATAAAAGGAGAAACATTAAGCAATGGAATATATAGAAAACAGCAACATGAAAAATTTAAATCATATTAAATGGTCATATTGAATGGTCTAACATCCCAAATAAAAGTGACTGTTCATTTGATAAAATTTCTATTTCTATATGTCCACAAGGAATCTTCTTTAAAAATAAAGGCAGAGAGAAGTAAAAAATCCAAGAAAGGAAAAAGATATACTATCATATATCAAGGGATGTTGGAGTGGGTATACTAATATCAGACAGAGCAGGTTTTAGAGCACAGAAATTTTTAAAGGAGTAAAGTATGTTATTTTATAATGATGTGGTCAGTTTTCAAAGATAAAACCACAATAACAGTGGTTCAAAATATATAACCCAAAAACTGATTGCAATAAAAGAAAAAGCTAAATCCGCAATTATAGTCAGAGATAGCAATGTCCCTCTTTCAAAAATGAACAAAGTAGAAGCAATTAGGATATAGAACACTCGAAAACACTTTCAACCAGTTCAATCAGTAGTCATTCATAAAATACTATGTCCAAAAACAGCTGAATAAACTACTTTTTGAGTATATACAGAACATTGGCCACACTCAACAAAATTGTGTCCAAATGCCAGACGATTTAAAAGGTTTGAAATCATACAAAATGTTATTTTGCTACAGTGGAAATAAATTAGAAGCCAAATATCTGCATACTCCAAATATATGAAAACAAACAGTCAAATTTCTAAATTAGATATAGGATTATAGTTTAAGAGGTATTTTGGGGTGAATAAAAATGAAACTGCATATCAAAATTTATGGAATGCAGCTAATCTGAAGCTTAGAATGCTATTGCTTTAAACACTAGAAAAGCATAAAGGTTTAAAATCAAATACTGTACTTAAACTTGTACCTTAAGAAACTTTTTAAAAAAGAAAAGCAAATTAAACCGAAAGTAAGAAGAAATAACAATGATCCATACAGAAATCATTGGAGTGGGATTCATGTGACCATTAGACAAAATAAATCAGTGAAACTGTGGTTCTTTGAAATCGATCAGGTCAAGTCCTATGTAGCAAGACTGAGCAGAAGAGAAGGGCGCCTGGGGAGGAGACGCAAATGGCTGATGTCAGGAAGGTGTCACACCCAGTGCTGCTGCTTAGGAAATTCCATGAACTCCTTTACGTGGTGCGTTTCCTTAGGCCAGAGCTTCCATCTAGAGTTTGTAAGCCTGACAGACAGGGCCCCTGTCATAATTCTTCACGTGATAAATTAAGATGGATATATATTGATAGGTACAAATTAAAATGCATGCCTGCTTTTAAACTTCAAATATTTTTTTTACTATAAATATAGGTACTACAACTCTTAAAATTTAATTTCAGGTACACATCAGTTTTTAAAGCAGCTGTGAAAAATGACATGAAAAAATCTAAAACATCCATGAAAACCATGGGACCAGCAAAAGTTGAAGTTCCTTCTCCAAAGGATTTCCTAAAGAAACGTTCAAAGGAAAAAGTCCTACCACCCAGTAGGTCTTATCACTCTTTCTTTTTAATATTAATAATAGCAGCAAGTTTAACCAGAATTATTCATTGTCAGTGAATATTGACAGCACCCTCACCTCATATTAAATAGAGCCGCGAACTTTCACAGGTACGAGCAGACCTCGCGTCGCAAACGTTCATAGACGCGAATAAATGGTGGAAGTAGCTCATGTGTCACAGCCGAGCTGCTGTGTGCTTGCTGCAGCGTGATAGTGTGCAGTGGTACAGGGCTGCGTCAGAGCCTCGGAGGTCCAGGAACAAAAGCAGTGGTGGTAGGGAGGGCGCTGCTGGGAAGCGCAAAGCACATGCATAGTGGATGTGTGTCCAAGGTGTGTAAGACTCACTGTGTTGGGCTTAGCAACGAATCCGACGTTCTCCTGGAATGGAGCTCCTCCTTAGGTAAGGACTTAACTGTATACAGCTTAATGGTTTGGGAATAAGTCTAAACCTTTTGCCTTAAGTATATGAATATATTATTTATGGAGCCCCAATGCTCATAGTAAAATACCTGAATGTTGGAAACTGTACTATGTAGCAATGTTTATACTTTCGATATTAACAAGGAAATGTTATACTGAACAGAAAAAAAGTTTGACTGGAATGAACCCAGAAAGCCTCCGGTGCCATTGAGGACTGACCATCCAGTCATGGGAATACAAAGTGGGAAAAATTTTATAAATACAAACGCAGCCGATGTCATCATGGGAGTGGCTAAAAAGCCTAAGCCAGTTTATGTTGACAACAGAACCGGAGACAAGCACGATCTTGAAACATCAGGACTACTTCCAAAGTACATCCATAAAAAGGTAGCCGTGTTATGTATTAATAAGAGATCAGGAATCCAAATCATTTAAATGTGGCATTCATAACAATTGCCTTTGTTACCATTAAAAGTGTTCTCACTGGACAGATTATCTCGATTGCCAACTCCCATCCCGCTGCAGTCTGCATTTGGTCCAACCCTAATGCAGTAAATTTGCAGAGAACTTGTAATGAACAGTGTCACATAGTTCAGTAGATGAAACTGATCGCTGTTTTTGTGTCAGTTATCGATGTATTTAGTAATTATAACACATTCTCTGAAAGAAGTTAATTTTTGGTGAGATGAAACTGTCACTAAAAACACAGTCACCATTGTAAATCTAGAAGCAATAACCTGTCAAAAAATCATAAAATGTACTCATTAAATTGAAATATGGCATAAAGCCTCAAAAATACTGTACAATAATAAAGTGCTCTTGGGCCCTTTATTTCTATCTGAAAAGATGTTTATCAAACACTCATATAATTTCACTGGTGAACTTTACAGAAGTCTGAGTTTAATGGTGTAGATACAGAAGATCTTTGAAATAAAAAAGTTTACAAAGAAAAAGATAAAGTCTATTTTGTATATTTATGGGGCATACAAGTGCTTGGAATACATAGGAAAGCATGAGTGAAAATCCTAAAGAATAATAATAGATAGTAAGTTATGGCAAAGAAAGGATGAAAGGAAGGAGCAAAGGAAGGAGGAAAAGGAGAGGAGAGGGGAAGGAAGGGAGTGGGGAGAGAAGCAGAAGCAGCAGGGACGGAGGCAGGGAGGAGAGGAACGAGGGCGGGTCCGGACTGCAGCAGTGATGCCTCAGCAGCTCTGCCCTGAGCGGCTCCGAGGCCCCCATGCCCAGCCCCATGCCTGTGGACAATCCTTCCTGCAGAGAGAGGAAGGCGCTGTTGACGCACCTGACACAGACAGGAGTAGGAGGATCTGTGTGGCACCTCCGAGTGCTCCTCCCTGGCCCTACTCACCAAAAAGAACTACTACTGTCTTCTTTCCCCTGCCATCTTTATCTTACTGCGGGGACTTACAGTTATCCCGCAGTAGCCGTCGGTTTAGGACCCCTGTGGATGACAGTGGACAGATGGTCTCAGGTCTCTTAGATAAATGGCAGTGCTTGGGTGTGACCTACGCACATTTTCCTGGTGCACTTGAACTCGTCTCTAGGACACTTATAATCCCCTCAAAATGTGAATCCTGTGTAAACAGGTGCTATACTGTCTTGTTTAGGGAATGGCAAGAAAAAAGTCTGTACATGTTCAGCACAGCTGCAGTTTTTATAGATTTTTTCCATTCACTGTTGGTTAAATCAGTGGCTGTGAAACCTGCCAATATGGAGAGCTGACTGGACTTTATATTAGGTGAGTCCCTCTCACCATAGAGTGAGACTCAGAAAGACAGGGCCTTTGTCTTCTTACTCAGTCATGTACCTGGCACTAGGTGCGTTCATTCTCAAATGCTGATTGGAAGAATGAACATGGAATCATCCTGTTTCTCCAGATAGTGACATCTATGTATCCACTAATCTGAAGGAATTTCAGCTGATGGCTTCACTGTCCTTGTAAGCAGCCTGGGAGCCTAAAAATGTACCTTGCACTTCTAAAATCAACCTCAGGGTCCCAAGGAAGTTTCCTTTTCAAGTTCAGATGTTTGGTATCATTTAAATGTTTTTCTAATGCCTCTGGAGCATTTGTATTCTTTTATTTAACAAAACTATGAAAAAGAGACCTCAAAGATAGTGAAGAGATTTCAGGCAAAAGCTGAAATACAAAATATAGAAAGAAAAGCCAACTCTTAGGGGTACAGTAAGGGCTAAGGGACCGCAATAACAGGCCTGGAAACATTGAGAGGAGGGAGAAAGAGACAGAGATGGAGACAGAGAGAACAAACAACCACAATAACAACTCAGACCGTTTTAAAGACTGGAGTTACTAAGTTCTCAAAGGGGAGAGACATCATTAAATTATGTCAGCTTGTAGTGTTTTAAGCAAAATTTAAAGTAAAATTAATTTTTTTCAGTTATTGGCTGGTACATATACATAATATCACATTCGGGATAATTATTTTTTCCTGAAAACATCCATACAGGATTATGGTGTCACACCTGAATACATATGTAAGCGGAGTGAGGAACTGAAGAAAGCCCAGGAAGAGTATGATCATTATATCCAGGAAAACCTTAAGAAAGCAGCCATGAAAATGTTATCAGATGAAGAAAGAGATGCAGTTCTCCAGGTAAGTGTCCTCCGATCTGTACTCTGAAACTCTTTGGAACATCTCCAAAGGAAAGGCCTTTCCAGTCCACCATCAATTTGGTGACTAAAGCTAACCCTTTGGTTTTGAAATCACAACAATCTCTTGTTGCAGCAAAGCTGACTGTGGATTTTTTATAAAATGGAGTACTACTCAACCGTAAAGAATGGTAAACTAGAGAGATTCATAGCTAAATGGATGCATACTGAGGCCATCCTCTTAAGTGAAATAAGTAGGACACACATGTGTAAATACCGAATAGTTTCTCTGGTGTGAGAAGCTGAAAGTGTGATTGAGGGCCAAAATGTATAATAGGTCATGTGAAACAGGAAGAAAAGGGGCAAAGGGGAAGGAAGTGGGGGTGCGGGGATAAAGAAAAGGAAAGAAGGGAAAGAAAAACTATGAGAAAAGAAGGAAAAAACGGAAACAAAGTCTTTGTAAATAGGGAGGGATGGAGGGGTGAAGGGAGGGCAGGGGAAGGGGGAAAAATAAGAGCCAAGATGCATCATGTAAAGCCACGAGTCTCCAATGATGAATGTCATCCTATTGTATACCTAAAATGGACCGATAAATTTAATGAATAAAAAAAAAGATTCATTGCATGACATTTTGCTTCCACCTTGGTAAGTTTGTGTTGTAAGGAAGCCTACCTTCTCCTACAAGAAATGTATATAAATAAGTCTAAAAATATTTTTATTTTCATTCTCATGTCACCAAATTTGTAAAACATAATATCCATAAATAGATATTTTTCACTAGATGGAGCTCTAGAATAATTGAAACTGTCCCTAAACCAAATTTTTTCCTTCCTAGAAAGAACTATCCAAATTTCTAAATAAAAAAGTAGTAGGTTTTACATATGCTGTATCTTCTTTATTTTGAATAAAGGAGACTCAGAAAACATAAATACACTGGATTGTTAATTTAAGACTTTAGTTTGAGACATTTAAAATACTGGGAGAGGTGAGCAGGGCAGTTGCTTTATCATCATTTGTGGTGAGTAAATGCCTGCTTCCACCCTTCTGTAGTCATGCACTCTCTTATAGAGTTCTTTGTTTTTACTTTGAAAGCTTTCTACAAAGCTATTTGTAGTGACTTTTAAAAAGTAGAAAAAACTTCACCTTAATTTCTGTCAACAATTAGATTCATATACTTTTACATTTTTAACATATTATTGATGTTATTATAATCACTAGTAAAGATTTATTAAATGCCCACTTTCTATACAGTGTTGTGCTAAGTAAGAGCTGAGGGTATTTTAAAAGGCATAAAACAAAAGTCCTGCTATGGAGAATGTTGTGAACTAACTGATGAGAGGGACTATACCTAGGAATGTGTGTGTATACAGATCACACTTTTTTTTAAGTTTCCCAGGCACAAGTCACCACTAAAGGATACAGATCTTTAGCCAAGCCTGAAAATGCAAAGTGACAGGGTTTCTGAGACAAGCAGGAGTGACTGAAAAGCAGAGAGGACTCTGGTAACAGCAGCACCCAGAGCCCAGTGTAAAGGTGGAAGGAACTGTGATGAGGGAGCCCTGGGACAGAGAAAGGAAGACAGGCAAGCCCGAGGACAAGGAGACCTGGAAGAGGGAATCCGCACGTCACTTTTGGGGACAGGGCTGGTCTTTGGTTCACAATCTCTCTAGTTTGGACTCTTCCATTTTCAGAAAGCACATGCCTGTGTGAAAGCTGGATTTCAGATGTAAATGATGGTGAAAATAGGGGAAAATAAGAACCTTCCTTGGAAGGAAAAGGCTCTCCCCTCCTTGTCCTTTTTGCCTGAGAAGGATGAGTCATCCTCAGCTTCCTTTTCAGTCTTGGATGCGATCACAGTCCTCCATCGGCTGCTTTGCTAGCCTGGAGTATAGCTGTCATAGTAAAATATACATAAAACAAAATGAAAGGGCCACCTGCTGTCCTGCTGATAAGCCCTGAACCCTGCTTCTATTTCCAGTTGAGAGGTACATACTGAAGATCCCCATGTAAGCCACACCCTGCTCATTCTTCATAAAAATAACAGCCTCAGTATACCTGGAAGGGATTATCTGGCCTAAAGATTCCTAACTTCTCATTTTACACTCGAGGATATGAAATGCAAGTATGTTAGGTGGACTCATCTGCCCATTCATCCGTTCATTCGCTCGTCAAACATCTACTGTTTCAAGCACTGTCCCCAGCTGAGGGATACTGTAATGTCCAAAGCGAATGTAACCCTTACTTCAGCAATGTACAAGTTTGCTTTACATTTGCTCTTGGTCACAAAATTATCAAGCGCATTTCCCAATCCCCAGGCTGGCATTTCCTCCACCACATCGCCCAGGCATGCACAGGAAGTAAGGAGTGAAGCCATGTCAGTTGGGCCTCCAGTGGGAACTAAAAGGCACAGTCAGCCAGGGTCTAGGAACTCTTCACAGAAGGGAAGTAGGGGAAAGGAACCAGCAAGGAACATGGAGGCACCTCCAGGACTAAGGACAAGTGAAATCCACCACCACCTCGGCTGGAAGGGCAGGGACAAAAAGTACTGTCACCAGAACCTTATGAGAGCTGGAGCCTGGAAGAGGGACCCCTGACAGGAGTCACAGTCACACACGAGTGCAGCTAGAGCCAGCTCCAGCAACAGTGAGGGAAAGAAGGAAGAAGCACGCCAACCTCTAGCCACTCCCACCACTTCCACCTTTGTTTGTTTTGCTCTGTTTTGTTTGTTTTGAGACAGGGTCTCGCTATGTAGTTCAGACTGACCTTGGACTCACTATGTAGCCTAGGCTGGCCCCAAACTTGAAGTGTTCCTCCTGCCTCAGCCTCCCAAGTGCTGGGATTGCAGGCGTGTGCATCCATGCCTGCCTTCACTTCCACCTTTGGCTGATCTCAGGCAGAAGCTATGGGCACAAGAAACAGGGGACAACCGCTCCCAGGATCAACTCCTGCCCTCCACCCCTGGTCACTGAGCAGGGCGAGAAGGAAGAAAACATTTGGAGCGAGGCAAAGGGTAGAAAAGGAGTGTGAAACTGAGCGCACTTCGCACATATGACCACTTTTCCCTATTTGGATTTTTCCCCAAATTAGCCATATTATTTCAGCATTAAGGTAGAAGAGAGAAAAACTAAATAATAAAAATAAGGGGAAGGATGAGGGAGTAGCTTGGTGGTACAGTACTTGCCTAGCATGTGTTTGGCCCTCGGCTCGATCTTCAGCACTGCAAAAAGAAAAACGAAAAAGAAGAAAAGAAGGAAAGGAAAAGAAAAGACAGCAAGGAAGTAGGAAAGAGGAGAGAGAGGGAAGGAGGAAAAAGAAAAAAGGAAGAAGGAAGAGAAAAGGAAATTGCTATAACTGCAATGGATAAAAGACCTTTCTTAGGTAAAAATTTTAAAAAACAGCAAGGAAGCTACTTCAACATAATGTGAGATAGTAGGTATATTTAGTTTCCACCCCTGGCTGTTGACTTAGATCCAAACATTACTGTACACGCTGGAAGATAAAAAAAGCAAACTATCCTTTAAAAGGAAATTCAGGGGAAACGCTTAGCTGCTGTGACTGCAAGTAACATGGAAATATACCCAATCAGCTATGAGAGACCTTTGATATTTGAAAGTGTATAAATATATGGATTTCCTGTGAGTAGGCACTCCTGTGGAGCACTGCAGAAACATATTTTACATTTCATAATACAAGACTGTGGAGAAATAGAGGGATTTTTTGAGGAATTCTTTTTGAACTACATCTCATGTGCTATTAAAAACTGTGTTGACCCATCTCTCTCTTTTTAAAACTTAACCTGAGTGCTTTTCCTTCTATCTTTTCCATCTCCCAGGTCTTTGATATATCACTCACCAAGGGGTCAAACTCTGTTGCCCTTTTCCCCAACCAGCTCATTCTATTCAGTGTGCCCTATGCTATTATTGCTTTTATCCAAGCAAGAAATTAAATCATTGAAATATTACTGTCCCCAAAGAGTTTCCACAGGATTGGATTTGTATGATGAGGGCTTAGGAAGGGATCGTTACACGAGATACTTCTCATCCTCTTTTAAGCCTAATGATATAGCAAAGCTTTTCAAAGACCAAGTTTTCCAAATACTATTTTAAACTATTTTTATTTTTTGTTTTAAACTTTTTATTTTTTGCTTTTGTGTAAATAAAATGATCTCTGAATCCATAGTGAATAATAAAAGTTATTAATCTTTTTCTTCTTTTGATACTGGGGATCGAACTCGGGACCTTGCGCTTGTGAGGCAGGCAGCGGAACCACCAAGCTAAATCCCCGGCCCAAAAGTCATTAATCTTTAAAATGTCACAGAATGAACTCAATTGTAATACAAGATCATTTTGTCAGTGGAGCCCCCTAGTGCACTATGATAAGAAATGGTTAACTAGGCAGAGATGGAAATAAACTTTATTCCTCCTAAGAGATCCCTAATTTTGAATTTGTTGATTTCTGAGACTATAAAATATTAACTACATTATCAAATTAGCATGTGTGCTACATTTAATGACATTCCAATCATCTCTAGAATACATTAAGGGAAGTATAAATCCCTGAACTATATAGAGGATGATTTGTACTTACTTTCTAATATACTGAAAAGATATATAAAACATCAACTTTTGGAAAATTGAATTCTGGCATTTTTACAATACCACTTTGTCAAATATAAGAAAATATGGTCATGTAAGTTTTTGATGTGATTCCTCTATTGAAGAATGAGGATAAAAAGGAAAATTATAGAAAAAAACTTTATTAGAAATAATTTCCTATTCAAAAATATTTTTTACCTGTGGCTCTCAGTTCTCAGTTGTTCATTTTTGCCAGAACATTTGCTGTGAACTTAGTTTGACAGTACTCATAATTCTGCACATGTGAATTTGATGGTAAAAGCAAGCACAGTGATGTTAAAACAGAGCAAATAAATACTCCCAATGGGGACCAAGCAGACAATCAAGGACCGGGCTTGGCCTCTGTACAATATTTTTTGTTACTGTGGCCAAGTGCTTGATAAACACACATCATTTTTAAAGTGGTCTTTTATCAGTGTTCATTGTCTATTTACATTTTGTGTTATAAGTACAGCTCCTTTCCAATTCACTTTACTTTCGCGATTTACTGGAGCATTTGCAGTTTCTTCATCATTTGCAGGGGCTGAAGAAGAACTGGGAAGAGGTGCACAAAGAGTTCCAGGCCCTCCCGGTCTTCATCGACTCTCTCCCGAAGAAGGTGCGCAAGCAGAAGCTGGAAGGAGAAATGAAACAACTGGAGCACGACATCGGGATCATCGAAAAGCACAAAATTATTTACATTGCCAATAAGAAATAGACGGTCTTTAGAGGGTAGTGATAGAAGGCAGGAAAGACATGGAAAATATATTAAAACAAAATTTTCAAAGACAACAATTCTATGAAGAGAATAAAAGTAATCTTACATGAAATGTTTGGGCAGTATTTGAAGGATATTTGAATTACTCACTTGTATAAGAATGTTTTGTTTTTACTACACATATAAAGCCATCGAAGTTTGAGGCTATGTGTTCCAGCCCTGTAATGTAATTCATTCTTATTACGTACTTGTTTCACATAAACGTTAATTTCTGGGCCCTGAAAAATAAAGTCAGCACTCAGAACTTCCATTTTTTTCTTCTCTGCATGGTACAAAGAACAAAGCTGCCAAAAATGCTAAGCATTTTGAGTTGGAAGTAGGACCATATGCTCTCTTGCTACTCTGAAGTGTTTCCTAATAATTGTTTTCCAGCTGCACAAATTTAAAAGATATACAATCTCAGATAGCCTTATGTCACTTGCAGTTATTCCTTACTATAAATATTTTCAGTGTCCATGACCTTCTGTATAATGGAGGGCTTATGTTTGAAGGAAGAAAAATTAAGACAACTTACAAAATCAAGAAGGAACCTTATAAAAGACATCATTTAGGAGGATTAAATACACTGATTTTGTAAAACTTTGATACTCTGCTTTATTTCATAATTTACTATGCATACATATTTCACCAAAACAGAGTGTTTTCTTTTTTATCCTTTCATTTATCTATTTTGTGAACCTGAAGGTTCTTTTTGAAAGATTACATCATTTATTCAGCAGTAAGTTTATGTGAGTAGAGCTGTCATCAACTCAAAATAAGAAATAAATCTATACATACCTAAAAGAGAAAACATTTTCCCTTCCCCCAAAAGGAAAGATTCTTTCATGAAATTTTAAGTCAGAGGAATTCAGCAAAACATATGAAATAATGAACTATCAAAGAAATATAACAATTTGTATTATTTAAACCAATTTTTATCCTCCAGACAATACAGAAGAAAATGACAATCTTTTTCAAACTTTTTTGCAAACACAGAATTTGAGAACACCCCTGAAAAGCTTAGGTGAGTTAAAGAAAAATGTTTATATAGTCATTATTTGAAAATTCACTTAAACATTTTTATACCTCTTCATAAGATGCAAATGCATCTTCTTTATTCCTGTTAACCTAGCAAAGTTATAAAATAATAGTGTGTGATCAACACAAAGAATGGTAGATGATGAATTCTCAGTTATATAGAATGCAGTTTAGGGTAGGCTAACAGCTGGAGCAATAAACCCAGAGGTTTAATGCATTAACGTAATAGAAAAAACTCATTCTGTTCACACAACAAGTATGATACTATGCTGTAACCAGGTCAACAGAATCGTTTTCCTCCCAGTTTCTCAGCAAGCAGATCTATGGAGTGAGTAGATGCCACCCTGCCTGGGACAGTGCCATGTACCAGCCAGGCCTAGAATGTTGCCTGTCATTTCCACTTGCATTCTCTCTGTAAGCAGCTGTACCTGCTTTAACAGACTAATTCCAAATCCTAATTGCCTGACAAAATAAAGATACAGCGCACCCTCAAGTTACAACTGGCCTGACATACATACAACTTGGGTTAATTAGGTTAATGGGAGGTTCATCTGTCTCTTGTTATCTATAGCGTGTACCCAGGTAAACATCCAGATCTCAGCTGTACTGACTTGCAACCAACTTGAGTTACAGCCCACCCTTAGGAACTGATCAAGTTCATAAGTCAAGGGTCCACTGTAAATTTCTCATTTGCATCACTGTCCTATGTGAATGCGGATGGAGTCTATTCTGTTCCATGTAATCACTAAGGAGTCCAATCCCTTCTCTGCCAGAGTTACGGATAAGATGTTTAAGTTAGTTTTTAATTTGTGAAGTGATTGCAATAATTACACTTTTTAAACATTTCAGAATCAACAGAAAATATTCTAATATGCTAATTCTAGTAATTCTAATATCTCCAGGATATTATGCTTTGAAGTCATGAGTAGGAGTTGCCTTAAATGCTGAAATGACAACTTTGTGGTCTTCGCAGACTGTTTTTCTCTTATTTTCTATAAATATTCACTAAGTGTTATGGCTGTGTCTATGTCTGCTCAAAGCCTCATGCGATCATGGGTGAGGCCTTTTCACAGGTAGCTAGATCTAGAGTGTGTGATGCTGAGATCAAGGGCCTGTGATTACTAAATCAGTCCACTGATTGGCTCAGTTCTGGGTGTGAGTGCTACCTGCCCTAAGGGTGGAAGATGGGTGTCCTAGATAGAATATAAAAGGGACAGAAAGAAGCTGTTTGTCACTTGCTTGCTTTGCTACCTTCTGCCCACCGTGAGCTGTTTCTCCTCTGCGATGCCCCTCTGCCATGCCACCCTGCCGAGGACCCAGCCAAGTGTGAACTGAAACCTCTACAAACCTTTCTCCTTTAACTTTGTGTGTCAGGTATTTTGTCTCAGCAACAGGAAAAGTAACTAAGACACTAAGAAACCCAGACTGTCCTCCAAGACCCACAGCATTGGGCTAGATGGACTTAAACTTCTCCTCCAATATCCTTGTTCTGGGGAGAGTCTCCCCTACCATGGGACCCCAACCCTGGATAGCTTTGGTTCAATCTCCCGCCAGCCCCACACACATTTCTGGGTCATCAGATGAGACAGAGGAGGGACAGACACCTGGCTCAGGAGTCTGGCCAGTGACTGATCAGATTCTTTCTCTTGAGATCCTGAATTAAGAGACACGGAGAATGCAGGCTTTTGGGGTAGACACCTGAGCCTAAACGGTCATACTTTACTACTGAAACTTGTGTGGCTTTGTTTCTGTTCCTGTTCCAAAGAGCTCCAAGCAGAAGAATACAGATTTGATGTCATCTGGCCCTTTGCTCTGATCTCTTCAGCGTGAGGTCTTTCCCTACCTCTATAGCAAATGTGATCACAGTGCTGAGGTTCTAGGACCACCTAGATCTGCACACATGGTTCCCTCTTCCCAGAACATGATCTTGTTCTTTATCTCCTCTTGGAAACCTGTTTGACAAATGCCTGGCATGAAAGAGTCAGCTCATGTCACATTCCTGTGAAACCCTTCTTTGAGTCCTCAGAATCCAGCTTCCTGTGGTAGCATTGATCATGCTGTATTGGACATATCTGGACATTTTCCCATTCCCTGTAAAACTGCAAGCTTTCGAGGGAAAGGGACTGTGAATTCTTTCATCTGTATTCCTTAGAATCTGCAAAATAGCTGCTGGTCTATAGAAGATGCTCAAAACTTTTTTATTGAATAAATTCATGACTGATGTCCAAACATATATTCTAATGACCCACTGACATGAGTCCCATGACATAGACTCCAAGGAGAGATATTTGTGTTGTTAAATAATCTGTACCAAACAGTTAGCACATGGTCGAGTCCAGAGGAGACAGCTTCATGCGGTGCTGAAGAGTTCAGGCACTGGGGTCAGGCAGGCTCAGGGTCACATCCAGCCCAGCCATTGCCTATGAAGTTTTTCTAAGCTATATTTTCCTTGCTAACCCATGCATATGCTCTGTAGAATTAGGATGAGAATGAATGAAACAATATATATTTAGTAGTTACCACAGTTCCTGGCATGTGGAAAGACGATAAAGTTACTGCTAAGGTTTTGTGGTAGGGCTCCTCCCTCCGTTCTCTCATACTTTGGTCCCTTAGTATACTGTCAATAGAATTGGCCGAGACAATAAAATCTGGCTGCAGGAAAGGACCTGACTGAAAGACTTACAAATCCTAGCCTGAGGTTATCCTAGCCTGGTTAATCTCCTAAGTGGTACATGCAGATGATTACAACTATATTTGGTAACTTCTATCTTTAGTAACTGGCCAAAATTTGGCAATACTTCCTAAATGATTCAGCATAGACATTCCAAAATGAAAGATAAGATTAAATCAGTAATGAGGCCAAAGAACCACGGAGGGGAAAGGTCTGCATGGTTGTTTATAATAAAAACTCTTGGGTGATATTAGCAATTTCATGCAGCTCAGGACCAGACTTCAAGTCTGGGGACCCAGTTTGCCATTCGTAGAACGTCAGAGAAGACGCACATGAATGAAAATGCACATGGACCCAAATTGTCACCCTCTGTCTTCAAATTGAGAAACACCTCTCACCTAAATAGATCCCAGTCAGTGCATTCTCTCCCAATTGTCAAGCTATAAGAGAAGACAAATCATAATCAAAAGAATACTTTGGGTGCGATAGAGTCAAAGGGAAAAAAGAAATTTGGATTATAACAATCCCTTCAGCTAACACAGCTCAGTCACTGCCATTCAACAAGTATTGACTGTCTGCCTACTACATGCCAAAAACTGTTCTAGTTTCTAGGCATACAGTGGTGAACAAAGTGTCTGTGTCAGAAAGATATAAATGATCACATAAATACATTCATAATGAAAAACTTAAACCAGTGTTTCAAAAGAAAAAACATAAGACACACTATGAAAGAGAACATTAAGGGAGTCCTAAATCAGATTTTGTAGGAGCTAGCATGTAAAATTAGACTACAGTTTGGAGAAGTAGACAGGAGAGGGTTGTGGAGGGGAAAGAATCCCAACCCTAGAGAATAAAATGTGGAAGATCTGAGGCATCCATAGAAGGAAAGCAGCCGTGGGGCTGCACTGTGCTTGGGGACAGGGAGAGATGCAAGCTAAGGATGAAGAAGCAGAGACCATCAACCTACTGTAAGCAGAGGGGTGCTAGGGTGCAACCTGTTTTTCAATAGTTGTTTGCTGCACGGTTTGAAGTGGAAGAATGGATACATGTGGGGAGACGGGGAGATTATCACAGTCTCCAGGTGGAGAAAACTTGGCACAGACTAAAACTGCACTAGAGGAGATAAAAAGTAGCTGTTGGCACCAAGAAATATTGAGGAGGTAATACAAATGACCAATAGACACATGAAAAAATGTTCAATTTCTCTGGCCATTAGAAAAATGCAAATTAAAACAACACTGAGATTCCATCTTACTCCAGAAAGCATGGCCATCAACAAGAAAACAAATAATAACAAATACTGGCAAGGCTATGGTGAAAAACATACCCTTCTACATTCCTGATGGGAATATAAACTGGCACAACCATTATGGAAATCAGTAGAGAGGTTTCTCAAAAAACTAAAAATAGAAACTCCATTTGACCCAGGAATTCTACTTTGGGGTATCTTCCCAAAAGAGTTAAAGATATCACACCACAGTGATAATATGCACACACTTGTTTATAGTACACTTCATAATCTTGGAAGCATCCTATGAGTCCATCAACAGACAAACAGAT